CCTGAGAGGTTTTCTGCCTTATTTTTGTAAAAGGAAACAGTATTTTCCTGGCCTTAACCACTTGCTGGCTGCAGGCCGAGGGGTGGGAGCCTTGGGGCACATCTCCATCCCCTGCCATGGCTTGGGCTTAGCCCCAAGTGCACATCCCCTATTTGGGATTTTCCTCTTTGCAACCCTACGTGATGGGTCGGCACATCCAGGACACGTAAGGGGGCTGGAGGCTGGGATGAAAACCAGCCCCATCCCAAAATACACATCAAGACTCTGGTCACCACTGCTGGGTGGAAGAGGAAGGGGCAGGAGGGGTTTCCAGGGCTGGGAAGGGGTCGTGGGGACCCCTGGGTGTTTCTGGCTGGGTTTTGGGGCTTGCTTCCGTAGGGGCAACCATGCCCCTTTCCGCCCCCAGGAACCTGATGCCGCGGACGCTGGAGGGGCAGATCACCATGGAGAAGACCCCCAGCTACTTCGTCACCAAGGAGGCCCCGCGGCGCATCTACAACATGTCCCGGGACACCAAGCTGATTGTGGTGGTGCGCAACCCCGTCACCCGCGCCATCTCGGACTACACCCAGACCCTGTCCAAAAACCCCGCCATCCCCAGCTTCCAGGCCCTGGCCTTCAAGAACGCCAGCACGGGACTGATCGACACCAGCTGGAGCGCGGTGCGGATCGGGATCTACGCCAAGCACCTGGACAACTGGCTGCAGTACTTCCCCCTCTCCAAATTCCTCTTCGTTAGCGGGGAGGGGCCGCGTCCAGGACTTTTTGGGGCTCGAGAGGGTGGTGACGGACAAACATTTCTATTTTAATGAGACCAAGGGCTTTCCCTGCCTGAAGAAGCCGGAGGGAGGCAGCAAACCCCGCTGCCTGGGCAAATCCAAGGGGCGGCCGCACCCCAAAATCGACGGGCGGGTGGTCCAGCGCCTGCGGGAGTTTTACAGACCCTTCAACATGAAGTTTTATCAGATGACGGGGCAGGATTTCGGGTGGGACTGAGCTGGGACCAGGGCTGCCCGGCGCTGCGGAGCCAGGACCGTGGTCCAGGGATGCTCGTGGTTGCCGTGGGCTGGGGATGCCCGTGGCCACCACACCAGCATCCTCCTCCCTTCGTTCTAATTTATATCGGACCTTTTCCAGCCAGAAACGGATCCTTCTGGAGTAGAGAGAAATATTTAAGGAATAAACCCACAGATCACCCCTCTCCCCTCCCTGACCAGATTAAATATTCTTCCATATAAAGTTTGCTCATTGATATTAACTGTCTGGGGTGGTGAGTGGGTGCGTGGGTGGGGACGATGGCTCTGCCATCCCCAGTAAAAGCCCTGGAAACCAGTTGGGCTCTGGGGCGTGCGGCCAGGGAGGTTTTGCTGAAGCAAATTTGGGTGCAGAGCTCAAGCTTGGGGCGTGCTTTGCACATGGAAAATAGGTCTGCAGGGGTTTCCTCGTTAGGAAAAACAATTAACGGCAGCAGTTAGGGCAGGGGGGTTGTATATCACATTTCCTATGTTCATTGAGTGACCCAGGTGATGAAATAGCCCCGAATTCACCCAAGCAGAGCAGTCGCAAGCCCCAAACTCTGACCTTCCCGTTCAATAACCTCCATGGATTTTCAAATCTGCATAGAGGGCCATCATGGGAGGCTGCAGAAATCAGTTTAACCTGAATTAACTAGTTTTCCCTTAATTAAAGACGGAGGGAAACATTTCATTAACCTCTAATATCTTATTAGCGACTCCCGTTTGTCTCTTTAATGAGCTAATTACATCTTTTCAAGGGCCCTCAGGCCCCGCATTATTTGCAAATACGCTTTGGCTGTGGTTTCCTCCATCCTGCATCCCAGCGCTGACCCTGTGTCCTGCCAGGCGGGTCCTGTGCCATCGCCATCGCCATCGCGTCCCCTCCGCGCCGCTGCTGGCCCAGGGTGATGGAGGCACCAGGTACAGCATCTCCTGGGGTGCACACCGGGGCTGGACCCCTTTCATCCCAGCTCCAGCACAGTTTTACTCCTGTGTCCTGGCCTCTGTCACTGTCCTTTGTGCTCCTTGGTGTGTATTTTCTGTATGGGTGCTCTGGGTTGTAGCTGAGGTTTGTCATATTCGTCCTGTTCAGCCCTTGGTTGCTGCTGGGCAAGTGACACGTGCAGGGATGGGCATCGTGGTGTTGGTCCATGGGTGTGTGAGCAGCACCGGGAACAGACACTGATGCCACCAGGGCAGTGCCAGAGCCTGGGGCTTCATGGTGATGGTCTTCAGAAACCTTATTTGTACTAAATATTGGGATATTGCAAAAGAACAGTACGAAGAGATGAACCCAGGACTGGTTTTCTGCTGGTTACAATCCCAGAGCTCTCCAAGTGATGTGGCCATTGCTGGGTGGGACCCAGCACCCTGTGCCCAGCGTGGGGTCCCCCCCGTCTGTGTCCCCGTGGCACCACAGGTGGCGTTGACCCCCTGGGGTTTGGATGTCTTGGATGTTGGAGCATCCCCAGCCCTGACGCTCTGGGTGTTGGATGTTGGAGCATTCCTGGCCCTGACCCGCTGGAGGTTGGATGTCTTGGGTGTTGGAGCATCCCTAGCCCCCAACCCACTGAGGGTTCAATGTCAGAGCATCCCCAGCCCCAACCTGCTGGGGCTTGGATGTTGAGAAGCCCTGGCTCCTGAACTGCTGAGGTCTGGACGTTGGAGCATCCTCGACCTGCTGGGGGTTGGTTGTTGAGTGGCCCCAGCCCCTGACCCACTGGGGGTTGGATGTCAGAGCATTCCCGTCCCCCAACAAGCTGAGGGTTGGATGTTGAGCAGCCCTGGTCCCCAACCCACTGGGGATTGGATGTCGGGGCACCCCCAGTCCCTGACCCAGTGAGGGCTGGAGGTTGGAGTGTCCCTGGCCCCAACCCACTGGGGGTTGGATTTTGGAGCGGACTCAGACCCTGACCCACTGGGGATTGGATGTCTTGGATGTCAGAGCATTTCTGGCTCCCAACCCACTGAGGTTTGGATGTCAGAGCATCCTTGGCCCCTGACCTGCTGGGGGTTGGATGTTGGGGCATCCCCAGCCCCGACCCACTGGGGGTTGGGTTTTGGAGCGGACTCGGACCCTGACCCGCTGGGGGTTGGATGTCTTGGATGTCAGAGCATCTCTGGCCCCTGACCTGCTGGGGGTTGGCTGTTGGGGCATCCCCAGCCCCGACCCACTGAGGTTTGGATGTCAGAGCATCCCTGGCCCCTGACCTGCTGGGGGTTGGATGCTGGGGCATCCCCAGCCCCGACCCGCTGGGGGTTGGATGTCTCGGATGTCGGAGCCGCTGGAGCCCGTTGTCAGCCGCGCTGGCAGCTCCCCATGATGGACTGCGCTCCGCTTGTTTCGGTTTTGTTTCCAGCCACGACATTCGACCAAATTATTCTCCGCCAAGGGCTTTAAAGTTTCCCAAGTGCCTGTGAAAGCCTGGAAACGCTGATAGTGATCCTATTTCTCAGCTGAGTGACTGCATTCAGCCCCAGCCATATTGATATGCAAAACGTTAAGGGTCCCGGCTCTAAAGATGGTTTCTGTCTGCCCTGTGAAAGGGAGCCATACTTTTTTAAAGCCCGGGCCTTTCTAAAGCCGCACAATACCATATAGACTATGCCATTTAGAGCATCTGAAGCGACCCAAAATGTATTGAAAGCTTGCTTTGCAGACTCATTAAGACTACTCAATAGGTTCTGGCAAATACCGTGCCAGGGCTGACCGCACGGATTAAGACTTTTGAAGTGTTACACAAACCCCCTGCTTAAACTAATTGCTGCCCCGCAGCTCATGAGGTCAAGTATTTGTATTCATTGCCTCCGAGAGGAGCCACTTACGGCTCTGTCCAGGTGAAGTCTGCACTTCATTAGATCAAGACAATAAAAGCGGCTTTGGGGAGGAAGGGGGAAGATGCCCGGGAGGAAACCTCTTGGCTCTTGCTAAGGATGTAACAAGGCTACATCCACCACTTCAGCAGCGTTTTGGGTTGCTTCTGTTGCTTTTAAGCGCCCGATGTGCTTCCAAGCGGAGCTGCTGGGTGCAGGACGGCGGCTGGGCTGGTGGCTCTGTCCCACTCGTGCTGTGCTGTGGGTCCACCCGGCGCCACGGGGGTTTTGGAAAGTCAAGTCTGTGTGCAAGGGAAGGGCTGGGGCTTCGCTCGAGCAGCGATCGCTTGAGATTCAGCGTGTGATGTTTTGCAGTGTTTCGTTAACCAGGGTCGAGGGGGTTTCACTGCACCGTCAGGATGGGGATCCCATCATGCGCTAATGAAACGTGGGCTCCTCCTGTCTATCCAGAGGAGAACCCGCCTTTATCATCACTGCATTACCCCTTAATTAAAAAGAGATTTAAGAGAAGTCAGTAGCCGAGGTACTGAAGGTGTCAGCTCATACCTGGGCTCAGGGGCTGGGGGGGTCTCACCTGGTGGGACCCCGTGATGCTGCTGGGAAGCAGCCCTAGTGGGAAGCTGAGGTGATGAAGCTCTGACCACGGGTCAGGAATTGGTCAGAAACCCCCCCAAAAATGCCCATCGAGACTCAGAGACCAACGTCACTGCATCTCCCTGCAAAAAGCCTCTGGAAATAAAGCTATAAAAAGAGATGATGCTGAGCTGTACTGATGTCCTGGGGAGGGGACATGGTCCCACATGGCTGCTTTTAGGACCTTTCCCTTCTTGGTGTCTATCTCAGCTTGGTAAAAATCCAGAAATGTGGGAGGTGGTGTTTTCCACCAGGGCTTACAAATCGGGCTCTCCAAATTTTGGCAGCGGCGTGGCCACATCTGCTTGCTCAGAGGACAATGGCAAGATCCCAAAAGGAATTTGGGGCACCAGGTTAAAGGGGGGGAGCGCCAGAGCAAGAGGGCGATGGAGATCCAGCTTTGCAGCCGAGCGTGGAAAGAAGTTTTCAGCCCCGTCTCAGTTAACCAGAGTTTCCATTTCTAACCTCATTTTTGTGATGAAAATCCAGCCATCCAGAGTGCTGTGGTTGCTGCGCTCCGGGCCTCCCCTTCCATCCCCATCGCTGCACGAGCCAGGAAGGGAAGGGTTGCAAGAGCTTTCCAAAATTTTTATTGGCTCCTTTTTCGTTTATACCAAATTTTGGAGGACAGAAGGGAAGCAAAAATATGAAGGAAAAAGAAAGCTTCATAATTTATATGTTTTTAAGATGTAACAGGGAAATATTTTCCCTGCAAATGCCCCATTCCCTGCCTGCTGTGGGGTGTGTGGCCACACCGGACCCAAATCATGGTCCCCAGGTGGGGCTGGTGCTGCTGGGCCATGGGGGGGCACCTGTGGGCTATAAATGTGTATGGGGGAGGCTGGATCCTCCCTATAGGGCTTGCTCCAGCTGTGGAGGCTCTGTCAGTTTGGGCAGCAGGAGTTTAGGTAAGTGGGGAGCTGCTGCTGGGGAGGTTGGCATCCTTGGTGCTGCTTGGGGGGGCTGGAGGGGAAATGTGGGGTTTGGGGATACAGGGGTTTGGGAAGGGAGCAGTTTGGGGATGGAGCAGTTTGGGGATGGAGCATATGGCAGCTTGCAGTGATACCCAGGGAGCATCTGTGGGTGCTGGGGCATCCCAAGTTCCCCTGTGTCTGTGCTTGGGCTCTCCAAAAAGAGCCTTTTCCATCCCATGGTGCCATCCTGCATCTCTCTGGGTGTTTGAGTTGCCTGCACACCCCATGAGGTGAACACAGCCCATGTCCCGTGCTGGGGATGGCTGTGGCTGCGATGCTCCTTGCCGCAGGGAGCACGGTGGTGGCCTCCCTTCCTGTGCGTGTCCCCTCACCATGGAGCCCCCCTGGCACCGCACGCAGCCCTTGAGCATCTCCTCTGGTTTCGGTCTGGATATCATCTCAGTCTGCAGAACAACCTCACGCCATGCTCCCCAGTAGACAAGAAAATGCCCCTGCAGAGGGGAGAGGTGGCCCTAATCGCTCCCAGGTGCCCGCTGGCGGCTTCCAAGTCATGCAGATCCCACATGTGGGCACAAAT